TATATATATATATATATATTGAACAAGTTGATCCTCATATGAAATATTAAAACATTATAATTAAGTTGTTTTGTTATGTGTTTTTTCTAGGTCATTGACAGGGAAGCTAAATGAAACTCATTGGATAAAGGTGTGGCACATCGTACTGAGCCTGGAAAAATTATCAACTTGAAGAGGCCAACTGTCATTATATTATTGGAATTATTTCAAAAAGGTTGTTTGTCCAAGACCATTAGAACCAAAGCAGGTTATAGGCCCAGGGTTAGGCTATTCTTGTCACACAGTATGAAACATTCAAAATCATTACAGGATGACGACTTTCAACTTGTCAATATATAATGAAAAAAAAAAAAAAGATCGGCATTACATGGACCATACAGAAATACAAATTCATAAAACAAGTGCAACTTATGCAATTAGACTTTGTATTTTATTAATAATAGTAACATAACATGTTTCAAATTAGAGATGAAGTGTCTGAAGCTACAAAAGAGAGGATAGCAGCTCTTAACATGACCAATGGCCAAGCATCAGCACAAACTGATGTGATAGCTGCTACAGTACTGTAACTACAGTATACTGGTCTAATTCACTTTCAATGACATGCACTCATCATAAGGCACATTTCTTCAGATTCAAATATTCTCTTTTCAAGCTAGCCAATGTGAACATGTTGGATTCAGGACCCATTGTATGTTTTCTCAAAAATAGTGAGTGGTAACTATGTTAACATCAATATAAATCAGCTTTAAGCTAAATGAATTAGTCATACATTTTAAGAATAATGTTGAGTCTAAATGAATTTGAATATATATTGATAAATGTAACCAGGGTTTTTCTAGAAAAATTGAACTTACTCTTGTGTATGTTTGCAATGATAGTTGTCTGAACGTTTGCTACGAATGGCCCAATTTTTTTCCAGGTCTTTCAGAGATGAATCCTCACATGTTTTCCCTTGGGATCTGTAAAAAAACTTTCACAGTTTTGTAACCAAGCAAAAGCCCATGCTCTCAATACAGTTCAGTACAATCCAATACAACTTTTCATAATTTAGCTAAATGAATTGTGTTTTTTCATTGCTTTCAGAAAACATACATAATTTAAATAGAAGTTTTTGAATATGCTAGAGAATGGGTGATGGGGTATGTAAAGAAAGGGTCCACTTTAAAGCCCCACTGGGGCATTAGTCATTCAGGATTTCAAGAACAAAAACCATGTCTGTGGTAGTCACAACTATGGATTGGAAGTGTGAATGTAGGATATATTCCACATTTCATTTCATGTTTAAATCCTATTTGTGTCTCTAACACTCTAAATGGAGAATTGAAACTGTCACAGAACTGAGCTACAAATAATTACTGCACTTCACATTATGTAACACAACACTGAATGTTATACTTACTCCTTATTGATCAGTATTACTCGCAAGGTAACTTTATTGGGGTCTAATTTGGGCAGTTCATCAGTTGCAAATATACTTGGAGTAAAAAGAGAGGACAGAAAAAACATGAAATTTGACATTCTGAATGGTAATCTTTACATGCCTTCACATTATACTGTTTGTCTCTGAATAAAGTGGTAAAATCACAATAAATGTGAAAAGGGGGCCTGAGAATTACATGAATAAACCCTCTGAAATGTGAGAGGTTGTTTACCTGTTAGTGTTAAATGGAGTGTCTTCAGTTCCACTCAGTAAGACAGTGACGTTACCCTCAGCTGCCTTTGCAAACTGCAACAAAACATCAGCTCAATATTCACTTACTCAGAATGATGTGTACATTTTACATTTGTGTCAACTTTTGAAGTGGCAAGTAGGCAATTTTATTTTTAACACATTAAAATATATGCCTCCCAGGGGAAAAATAAGGGTTAAACAGTTTAAAACCCCCATCTCTGTCTGATGGCCGCTTCTGGTGGGTTAGATACCAGAGACATTGACCAGTTAATGTTTCAATTCAGTCCTCTGACATAATAGACAGTTTACAGCTGGTGAAACATCTGCAGTATGGAAAAAGAACTGATGGAATGAGGTATGGAACCCCTCCTCATGAATCTGCGGAGACAGACCCTTTGGGCAAAAACATACTTCACACAAATACACAAATTCAAAGGAGAGTGCACAGCCAGTGCATGGCTCATTTGCACATATTCAACGTCTGTCAGTATGTCCCTGTAGGGGGTTAAAAAAATGTTATCTTTGCAATGCTACATCTTGATGGTTCATTCTCTAATGTGAATGTACTCACCGCCTGGGACACCCTCTTCCAGTAGGAACTGACAGGATTCACAGGATATTTCTTATAGTCTGGACAATCTGAGCTCAAGATATCTACAGAGCACAAGAGATAAGCAACTTATAATTATACACTGCATGAAAGACAGCATCCACAGTTGATCACACAAAGCTGAAACAAAGTAGTTTATCACTCAGTCACTAGTCTGTTCAATCACCCAAAACATCATCAGGGTTTGGAAAGTGTTAAAACAGAAACAGATTAAAACTGTGGTTGTACATGAATACCCTTAAATAGATCAAATAAATCAAATTCGGTTGTATGCCTACAATGATAAAGGGTGTGTTATATTGTACTACTTTAGCTGATTCTAATGTATTTGAGAGATCACTGAATTTCTCATTATCTACAATTTGACTATTTTGCAACAGATCTAGGCCATTCATTAAGATGGAAGACGCAGTCTAAGTTTTTAAAGCTGTTTCACAAACATTTGCAGTATTGATACTGATGTGTGACATGTTTGTATATACAGGTGCATCACAATAAATTAGAATATGAAATATAAGAAAAAATAAATTTAATAATTACATCAAAAAGTAAACATATAGAAGATTCAATACACACCAGAAGTGAAATATTCAAGTTTTTTATTTCTTTAATTTGGATATATGGAATTACAGCTATGAAAACCAAATTCAGGTATCCAGATATCAAACCAATATGTAATACGCCCAATCAAACAGAATTACTATATAATATAGATTAATAATACATCTCAATTACAATACTGCACTTTAATACGTTTACTGACTATTTCGATTTCCTTTCTTAAAAGGAAAAAAGCTACAAGAAAAATAATTTTTTTATAAATAGTGTTTACAATTATATAATATATTTATATACTGAGGCACACCTTAGTCATTAACACATCTGAAAACATTTAAAGGGCTGCAGAGGGGGAGAATAGATCAACCGGTGTGATATGATAGCAGCTTAATTTCCCTACAGCAGATTCTACTGACATGCTGTAGCTAAATCAAGGAGGAGATTCCATCAATGTTAACAATCCATGCCTATAAAACATTGTTTAGGACCCATAATCCCCATAAAACTTACGAGCAATGAATTAGAAGCTCTTTTATGATGAATAAACATTAGAGACAAATTAAACAAATTAATACCAAATGCCCTCAACAGGTAGTACGTCCCCAAGTCAGAAGTTTAACTAATGTAAACCAGAATATATTGTAGACTGTATTCTGCATCGACTTCATCAACAACCAATAATCTACATGTTAGCCAATATGCGCTAAGAAGAAGAACATATAACTTTATTAACGTCCCGTATGGGGAAATTCCTTTTCACTCCTTTTCCACACACAAAATACACACTCCATGCACCAGACATACAACATAAGAGAAGATGGGGAGTGATGGGCATCGCCACGTTAGCGTGGCCATAGAGCAGTTTCTGGGATTAGGTTGCTCACTCCAATATGTGGTCGTGGGATATGAAACCGCCAACACTCTGGTTCCTAAGCACTCCCTACACACGGAGCACTGCTGCCCCAGAAAGAATGTACCTTAATTGGGGCACTTCCTTTACTGGATATGAATAATCTTTCTATTGTCGATATGTATATACAGTCCTAATAATAATGTTTTCAAAAACTGTTTGGAAGACAGAAAAGTGACCCCAAAACCCCTAAAATGTACAGGTACAGTATAACGAACAGACTCCTTATGACTTTACATAAGTCTGATCCGTTGATCACCTGTGTGTTTACCATTGTCATATTGACTATTAACGGTAAATTACCGTTGTTCTCTCAATTCCCACACCTGTCTTCTATATCCAATTAACCAAAGATTGTATCCCCAAGGTGGAAAAAGTGTCAACTCTTATGCATTCAGAAATTGATCATGTCTTGGTTGACTCCCAAATAGCAGAACCTAAAAAGAAAACACAGGAAGATGGCCATACAC